TGAGTATGCATTGCACAAGATGGGATTCAATGTCCTCTTCTAGATATATGGGACTACAACTGTGAAGTTTCCAAGATTTCTGATGGAATACACACACCCAGTTCCTTGTTTACTACATATTTTGGCTACAATTCATATAGACATAAAAAACTGACAGTGTCTTACATACAAACAAAGCATTGCACTAGATTTGATTCAATGTCATATCATAGAAATTGATTTCAAAATTTCAATTGGGATGGCCCAGAGCTTACTGTCAGTCAATTTCCTTCTCTATTTTCAGTACAGAGCTGTTCTGTTTTATCTTGAAAGGGACACTCCTCCAATCTTCAAGTTATATAATATGGAGTAATGAAAAACCTATTATAATATGCAGAGAATATATACTTTTGGCCCATATTTAGTTTACTGAATAATTTGTTTTGAACTTTCATGCAATAAGGAACTTAGAAAAAACAACCAAGGATAGTATGCCATTCCTTTTACCATGAAACCATGTTAAAGCAATATACAATTAAACAGAAGAAGCCATAGTTTGCAGTGTATCTGTTCACTCAGAGTAAATAATTGTTACCTCAAGATAGCACTGTGCAGTATTTTCTTCACTGAGAAGAAAGGAGAATACTCTGGCAGCCCCAGGTTTTAGTACAATCAGATGAAAGAATTGATTGCTTCTCTAAATATACATAACTTATATTCGTATACAAATGTTGAGTTTTCTTTTGAACATTGAGGAAAGTTATTTTGGTCATTCTATCATTAAACAGCTGATTTGAATTGTTATTTGACTGAAGGGCCTTACGATGAAGGGATTGTGGGGGGAGGTCCCAACCATACCAGAAGGGTACCTGGAAATGTCTGAAATTATGACAAATTTACTTTAGAATATTTTGAAGTAAAGCAGGTACGCATATAGTAGCTTCCACATGACAACTTCCAGCCATTAGTCTCTCAGCATTCTACTGCATTTTCTCAGCATTTCTCAGATAAGTAAGGTGAACATTCTTTATCCACCTCTCACCCTCTCTCTCTGCTTAATAAAGAATATGGGCATACACTCACATGTTGTGCTGGTGGTGGGGTGTCTGATCACCCTTCTCTCCATGATTATATATATACAAGGCTGAGCTATATAATAATATTTGACTTGGTGCAAATTAAAGTTCAACTATCTCATGAAAACTTGAAGGTGGCATAAAGACTTGAACAATTTAACATATATTTGCTCTGATAAATTTTCCTGTACTAACACCTGATGTTAAACTATGTACTTCTGACTTTTTCAGACAATCATTTAATTTTTTCATTGAAACTGAATGAAAATAATTCACTTTGCTTCTTAACAATTTATTATGCATCAAGGTTATCACATTTCATTACCTTTGTCTCTCTTCCTTAGTCCCTTGCTTCTGCTATAACATAGGGCTAGTTCCAGGTTTCAGAAGGCAAAGTAATAAAACAAGGATGTGGCCATCCTTTTCTACAAATTATTCTATAAGGAAGGATGGCTAAATTGAGTAGCTTGACATGGCTTAGAGTACCAAGTCCCAAAAAAACCCAACAACAACAAAAATGGAACGAAACAGGGGAAGGGAAGGGAATTAAGAGGGTCCAGAGCAGGCATCAGTAGCAGGGCCCTGTCAGGCACTGGAGCCTGGACAGCTGCCCAAGGGTACCAAACAAGATGCTGTTTCCAGGTTCTACAAAGAAGAAAAGCCTACTATACTTCCTTCTTGAATAAGTAGCCACCAAAGACATGACTATAGCTCCAAAATGTGTACCTGCATCTTCAAATGCTACTCTCTCATGGATCTGACTGTCACAGTTCTTAAAATCAGAATAACCAGCTTCCTTGGTAGGATAGCTGCTGTAGAAGTACTTCACATGTCAGCAATTATAAAATGCATTGAAATTAGATCTTCTACGCCAGCTAGCTAAATAAAACACAATTTTATTTATGTTGTGATGTACTATTAGTTGAAAACTATATTGCTATCACACTATTTAGGGACTGCAGGTGGCGCAGTGGTTTAAACCGCTGTGCTGCTGGGCTGGTTGATTGAAAGGTCGCCGGTTCAAATCTGCACAACATGGTGAGTTCCCATTGCTCTCTCCCAGCTCCTGCCAACCTTGCAGTTCGAAAGCATGCAAATGCAAGTAGATAAAAAGGAACCACTTTGGTGGGCAGGTAACAGTGTTCCATGCACTTCGGTGTTTAGTCATGCCGGCCACATGACCACGGAGACTGTCTGCGGACAAACGCAGGCTCCCTTGGCTAGGAAATGGAGATGAGCACCGCCCCCTAGAGTCAGGCATGACTGGACTTAATGTCAAGGGGAAACCTTTACCTTTACTATTAGTTGAAAACTACATTGCTATTACACTATTTATAGATCCAGAATCTAGAAGTACATTTGTGCATGTCTATGAAATGCATAAACTTTTATATGGCTTGGCATCACAGTAGATGTCATAGCATTTCTCCCAACCTAAATCTATCTGGATACAACCCTCAATATCTGAATGCTTTCAGTAAGTGTTGTGCCTGACGCCTCAACAGAGGTGGCACCTCACGAGGAAGAATCAAACTCCCAAAGAGAGAATCAGACATCAGAATCCCACGACTTTAGTTTTATGGCCGGCATAAGTGTGGGTCATTTACAACTGTGAGCTGACACCTCACAACAGTAAGGAAGGCTAGTAGCAAGGAAGAGGACCTTCTGAGAGGAGGCCCCATGATTACGGAACCATCTCCACCTGATACCCAACTGGCACCAACTCTGCTATCCTTTAAGTGCCAGGTTAAAACTGCCCTCTATACCAAGGCATTTAATGGTTTTAATAGCCAATGGGATGGGTTTATGTCAGCCTGTTTACTTTTAACAGGCTATGTTGTATTGAACTTATTTTAATTTTCAACCTATTTTCAATTGTTTTAAATTCTGTATTGAAATTTTATGCTGCTTTTATTGTATTTATGTTTGTATTTTATGGTATTTTATGAACTGCTGTTATCCACCCAGAGAGGATTGGCTATTAGACAATATAGAAATTAAATAAATAAGAGGAAAATTTCTAAAAAGTAAAATGGGGGAAGTGTAGAAACAAAAAGAAAACAGAAATCTCATTTAGGAGTAGCCAGGTCTCTCTGATATCTAGGTAAGACCAGCACATTCATCATCCAATGTGAGACTTGTGAAATATAGCTGCCCTAATATAAGTGTCACTTCCAGAGATGGACACTGGCCATTTTCAAGGATAATTATGTTATTCATTCTCAAAGTCTGTCTAGCTTAGAGTAAGATTAAATCAGAAGGCCATCTTTCCAGTTCCATGCCTTAATTCAGAACAACCCATACATCAGTCCCCAAACATGAACCACTAGCTAACTCAAACAAAAGCAGGGGCATTCCTCAAACTACGGCTCATGGGCCGAATCCGGCCTGCCATGTTCATTTATCCAGTCTGCCTAGAGGTTTTGGACTCGCTCAGAGAAAATGATCTCCGAGCGAGTCCAAAAGCTCTGAGCCAGCGCAGGCGTTTGCAGAAGCTGAGCAGAAAGCCGGCGCATGCGCCAGATTGCAACAGCACAACAGCCAGCTCTCCCATTGCACACATATACAAAGCAGGAATACGGAGCGGGAAACAGAAGAGAGGTGGGCGGAAGAGAAAGAGAGACGAAGACGAAGAAACTAAAAAAGGATTGAAGGTAAGAAAAACTTCATAACTTTAAAAATCTATTTTTAATTATGCAAACCTAGAGGCGGCCAGGTCATGCTGCCTTCTCCGAGGGAGTAAACTGCCATGGCTGACTCACCGAGCCCGAGACCGGGGTGAACGGGCTGAGGTGGAGCAGCTTACTCGGAGAAAGCTACAGAGGATAAAGCTTACTCGGAGCAAGCCATGGGGCTCCTGCGCTTCCTCCATGGCCTTCTCCAAGCAAGCAAGCAAACATTTTTTAATTTAGTTAATTTTTAAATGTTAATTAATTTTAAATTTAATATTTTTTAATTTATTATTTTAATTAATTTTTAATGTGCCGTGTGCATAGAAATTCGTTCATTTTTTTTCAAAATATGGTCCGGCCCCTCAACAGTCTGAGGGATAGTAAACTGGCCCCCTGTTGAAAATGTTTGAGGACCCCTGCCCTAGTTAGAGGAAAGTAATATTTCTCAGGGTCAATTGAACTTGAATTGAAGTTGGAGGAAAATTCTTTCTTAGCATGAGTTGGAAACATTTTGTAGCTAATGTCCTGTTTGTGTATTACAAAGCTGGATAGTAACCCCTTCTAATAACAAACTACATTGGTACTTTGGCTCTCAAATGCTTCAGTTCACAACCAAATCGGGTCGCGAACAGAAATTTAGGAAAAAAATTTCCTCAGGTCATCAGGTGATGATTGCGATCGCACCCATCTTCCCTGCACAGGCGCAATCACAGTCATGCTTGGGGGGGAGGGGGATGGCCGTGATCGTGCTTGCGCTCCTGCAGGGAAGACGGGCGCGGTCACAGTCATGCTTGGGGGAGGGGGAGAAGGCCACAATTGTGCCTGTCTCGCCCGCACAAGCATGCCCGCGATAAATACAATTCTGCTGACAGGGTTGTTTCAACTTTAAAAGCAGTTAGCCAGCAGTGGAAAAGGGTTCCCTGTCGTTCTGCATAAGCATGATTCAGTTTATCTGCTATTTCAATTATAAAATAATAACCCATCAACATGTGATATGCAGGTTTCAAGTTCCAGAAACTGACTCCAATTGCTAAAATGTCAGGATCCAAAATCAATATGTATGACTTTACATTATTTTATTTAGTCTAACAGTGGAATAAAAACGTAAGACTTGAACTCTTGTGCTCATACATTTTCAAAATTGGTCATGAAAATACTGTTGTGCCAACTTATACCTCCTGCGCAATCAAGTTTATCCATGGTAGTTTTGTTCCCTAGAATTTGAAGACATTTTCTAAAGTAGCTTAAAAAATATACAGACTGGAAACCTTACCATTTCTGGTAGACTCTTGGAAGACTGGAAATGAAAACTGTATCCATCTCTTCCATTGTGCAGGTGTTACTGTTTGATTCACCATGAATTCTGGATTCCAGGTATTTTCACTTGAAAAATGATAAGAGAACATCAGAAGACTAGACTATGGGACTCAAATGTTGCCTATCACAGAAAATATCTGCAAGTTGGCTGCTCCTTTCCTGAATACTTACAAGTATGTTGATTGGTACCCAGACTATCACTCTGGGTAGATGGCAGGGGTGAGTCTAAATAGCAGATTAATTCCTTGTCCCTTGCCTGTATATCATGCTATCTATACTAGATATCAAGAGTAAGTCAAGGGTGTAATGGAAGGGGCCCTCAGGTCACTGGAGCACCCCTATTTAGCAGATTAAAACCGTGAGTGTTTTTTCAACACCTCCCAACAATTCCTAGGAACTACCTATCTGGAGAGGTCTTCCAGGCATGCACATATGTTTTCTGTGACACATTCCCTCATGCTTAGCCTCTGCTCCTCAACAACATGTGGTTAGCTTCCTTTTGCTGCTCCAAAAACTACCTCCCCACCCCCAACCCCACATTCACATCACACATTTAGAAGACTTTTATTCCCCTTTAAGTAATCATTACTTCCCCAAAGAATCTTGGTGACCATACCAAGGGATTGTCAGGAATACTGACTGTCATTAGTGGATACCAATTCCACATACAAAAAGTACCATTTTCCAGCATTCCTGGGGAAGAGGGATTCTGGGATAAACCATTCTGGGAATTGTAGCTCTGTAAGGCAAATAGGTATTTTCCAGCAACTCTTAACCCAAGAATTATTTGGTAGAAATAATGGCCAAAGTGGAATAAAAATATTGTAACTGAAGCATATTCAATAGAATCAGTGGGAAACATTAGCCATGACTTCTGATAGTCTTAGCTTCCTCTTACCTCAGTTAGGCTAATTTACGCAAGATTCAGCATGATCTAATTAAAGCACAATGAAAGATTGATATTTTGAGAAACAGGAACTCCTAAACCACAGACTCTGAACTCATGAAGGATCTCCCACATGTATATACATACAAAGTCAGTTGTTGCAAGGACCACAGAAAAGTGTAAGAAACCAGTGACTGACAATTCAGACTGATGCTCTTGAGAGAATATAACTACAAATATTTCTATGAGTGTAGGTAATCAGTGCCTGAGTTTTCTTTTTCCTTCTTCCCTCCTTGTTCCTTTCCCCTTGTATGTCATGTATTTAGATAGTATGCCTGTGGGCAGGAACTGCCTTATTAATTCCACATAAGCCAATCTGAGAGCTTTTTGGCTGGAGAGCACGGTGTGAATGTAATTTTTAGAAACCATTCATTTATAATAAATTAAATAATTAATAACTTCCAGAAGCTGTACTGTTTCATTCAAAAAGAGATACTCATCTTGCATTCGTTACTCAACTGAAATTAAAGTCACAAAGCTATTTTTTATTATATAATCATGGATTGCATAATCTTGGAAATAGGTGTGGCTTGGGGTGTGTAGATTTGATGGGGTGTGGCTTTGAGGTGTGGCTCTGACTACCATGAAGATACCTTCCAACTTCTACGTTTGCCACTACACCACTGGAGGTAGCCGATTTATTTGCACAAGGCTTTGTCAATTGTGTTAGATTACAGAGCAAAGTATATATCTTGGATGTAATTACAAAGAATATAATAGATGTTTTACTCACCACTGTAAATACCATTTATACTCTATGGTATTACATGGAATTGAAAAATGAGTAGCAACTTGAGGTACTCCAAATTGGACAGATATTGTTGGCCCTCCAGATGTTTCTGGCTAGAGAAGATGGGAGTGCAGTTCCACAAAATCTGGAGGGCCATATGTTATGCACATTTGAATTAAAAGTTACGTTCAGCATGAGCCAAACTGGGAGCTTTATACACATCCAATGGAGGGTGGAAGGAACACAAATGTGAGTATTGCCTCTGTGCTCCCCTTGCCTACCAAAACATTCTACGCTGGCCTGCAAACAGAAGAGCCAGAGGAACTATCAGGAGCCCTTGCAGGCTAGTGGTGCCTCACTACCCTCCCCCGATGCCCAAAGTTGGTCTTCTAATTTTGAAGTCACAGCTGGTGTGGAAAAAAACCACATCAGCTGCAAGGATGGAGAGAGGGTACTTCAAAGTTGGAGTCCTTGTTCTGCCCTTAGAACATGTTTTCAAGGTTGGAGCTGGGTTTCTGACTTCTTCTATGGTTGTCTAGACCAGGGGTGTCCAACCTGCACCCCATGGGCTGTACGTGGTCCAGGATGGCTATGAATGGGGCCCAACATAAAATTGCAAAGTTACTTAAAACATTGTTTTTTGTGATTTTTTTGGTAACTCGATTGTGCAGTTCTCAAGCATGGACTTTATAGACAACAACATCGTGCTGCAATGTCACATAAAATAAGTGTTCATATGCTCTCACTATTTGTATGCATGGTGGTGGCAGATACCACGAAAATTATGCACAGACTTTTTTTTTGCTCATCACCTTTTGTTAGTGTTTGTGTATTTAATGTGTGGCCCAAGACAATTCTTCATCTTGCAATGTGGCCCAGAGAAGCCAAAAGGTTGGACACCCTGGTCTAGACAGTGGCTATAGTATTATTCCCTTCATTATGCTCAGTCCCATCCAAAAATGCATGAGTGGGAACCCCACTCATACAACATGACTTCTTACTTTCCTTCCCCCACAACTCTCTGCAACCCTGCAATCTGGTACCAGAGATTCCCTGAACCCTCTGGAGTAGAAGTAGAGGAAAGGGTCTGGGAAGAGAAGGGAAATTCATTCTGCCAGCTTACAGACAGGCACTGTTGGCTATGACTCAGTGTAAACAGTAATTTTCTTTCCTGCTTAAAGTGTGTGCTAAATGCAGCTTATATACAAGAAGTATTCACCACTATTTTTTCTTTCTATGTATTCTCTTAACAGAACTTGTGAACAGCTTTTTCTTGAAGACATGTTGCCACTTTTCCTAGTGGCCCTGTTCTTATGCAGGTCCATACACAAATTAAACAAGGATGCATTCCTCATTACTTTATCTTCATAGCAAAATACATTTTATTTGGTCTACTTCTGTGACTCAAGCTCCTGTAGCTGGTTAAAGATTACAGCCTTTACCCATGTTTACTTCTATGCACACTGTTCCTAGAGTTCACACTCCATTGTCCCCTGCCCTAGGCCTTAATAGCAGACCGGTTTACAGAAATTAAGCGAAACTTTTCCTGACATAAAGAAAACATCACAAGAAAGAATCAACCTGCTAAACTTCTTCCTGTCAGGCTGCTTCTAGATGCACAAGACAGTGGCCAGAAAAATTGGTGGCAATTCAAGCAAGAACAAATGGAGGTAAAGATTCAAATAATTTTCCATGTGATAAGAATGTGACAGTGGCTACAGAATTACCATAAAAATAACAGCACTGACTCTATATCAGTATACAGATTGGGTCATACAATATTACCAAAACAGACAACTCCCTCACTAATATTGCATTGATTGATGGTTGTGACTCCATAAAAGTCACAACCATCAATTTACATGAACTAAACAGATCTGTCCAGGTCAGGACATTTTGGAGGGCATTCATTTGTAGCATCAGCGTAAGTCCAAGACAACTTGACAGCACATTACAAATACTGTGTTGCATTGTTATTATTCCATTGTCAAGCTTAGTAGTAACCGAAACTGAAATTACTATTTCTAAAGCTAAAATCATGCAAATACTTCCAAATATTTTGTTTCCAAAAGTTTGCAACAAAACTGCACCTATGTTTTATTTACTTGCAGATGCTGAGAGCTACAACCACTTAGCTGTGTGCATTACTTAAGCTGCTCTGTTTCACCCACAAAGCATTCTAGTTACAGCAAATAGTTTTCACAGTGTGTATACAACAGATAACGCACACACACACGTATATGTATTCCAATTCCAATTTCATTTATCAGCATCAAGCCAGCAATTGTAAGCCTTAACAGGCACTTCTAAACCACTATCATGATTTTCTTTGTAACTCTCATCTAACACTCCCATCCCCGTTTTGTACTATAAGTCTGAAAACTGTAAGAAAAATAGAAGGGTAGTGATATGAATACAGTGGTACCTCAGCTCATGAATGCCTTCGTTCACAACCAAATCAGGCTGCAAACAAAAATTTCATGAAAATTTTGACTTGGGTCACGAACTCCACATTAGGTGGTGACCAAGATTGCAGCCATCTCTCCCTGACCCCCAAGTGGGGAGATGGCCACTATCGCAGTTGCATTCGTGCAGGAAAGACGTATGTGATCACAGGCACGCTCCTGCAGGAAAGACAGGAGCAGTCTCAGCCACCCACCCCCGAGTGGGGAGATGGCCATGATCGCAGTCGCATTTGTGCAGGGAAGATGTGCATGATTGTGGCTGTGCTGTGCCTGTATTTCCTGCAGGAGTGCGCCCATGCCAGGATTTCTTTGAGAAGCACCACCCCAACATAACTGTAACGAACAGAGTGTTGAATCTGATGAACAATAACGTGGCCTCTCATTTCTGGAGGGTTATGCAGCGCAGGAAAAATAAGTGACTATAGGCAGATTTTTCACCAAAATCGACCCTGCAGCTAAGAGACAAAGAAGAGAGGAAACCCCTGAAAGAGATCTCCCCAGTGTCCCTATGGAGGAGTACTCTCTCAAAACAATAACCTCCCCCACACCTAGCTTAGTGTTCTCCACTGTACTGTACAGTACTTCGTTACTTTGTTGTTCTTTGTCACTTTTTTCAAATTTTTCTGATAAAAAAATAGTTACAGAATGGATTAACTTTATTTACATTGAATCTTATGGGGAAATTTGACTTGGGTCACAACCAATTTGGGTCACAACCAGAGTCATGGAACAGATTAAGTTCGTGAGTCAAGGTACCACTGTATTCTACTTTATGGTTCTACATCTCAAAAACCTTATTTAGAGAAGCACTAATAGTCTCACAAATGTAGTAAAATTTTAAAGGTAAGTACATTCTGTTTCTGCTGGTATTATGTATGCAAACAGAACAATGTCATAATTGTGTCTTTACAGTATCAGTCACACCCCTAAGGTAGGCATTTCATTTCCATACATTAAAATGCTCATTTTAAACTGAGTACACACCCTACTTAGAAGTGAGTAAAGTCAATAATGAACTGATTAAATCCACTCCCTTACACACCCATCCCAAAGGGAAAAACAAATGGAAACTTAGCTTTACAAGGCAAGGTAACTGAAGTTGTAAAATGTAAAATTCTACCTTAGTAACAAATTGTGGTTAAATTTCTAGTATATATTAAAGAAAATATTGGAACATGTTTTTTGTTATTACTTGCAACTTCGATTCCTGCTTCTCACCTGAATTAAATCTCAGTGAGTAACTCAAATACAGACTAATCAATAAGGTGCATACTGTAGTGAAGTTTTCTGCCTGAAATTACTTCAGAAACCGCATTAATTTTAGACTAATAGAAATCTTGTGTCCAGAGTGATAACTGGAAGGTTGCTGGTCCAAAACTCCTAACAAGGCAGACATTACTATTTAGAAATTAAAAGTACAATTCCATCATTGTGCTCCCTCCACAACTATTGCCTTTTCAATGCAAAGCATGAAAACTCAAATTATTTGGAAAGAAAGTTAAAGGGCAACAAACAGTTACACTTTAAGGGAAAGCAAGCAAGATTAACAGTCAATCCCTGCAAATCCTCAATTCTAAAATGCCTGTTTCCCCTTATTACTATAGCAAATGTGATACAACACAGGGCACAAGTAACTTGGCAAGATTCCTCCTCCCACGTCCCATGATAATTATGGCACACTTTCCCAATATGGAAAGAGATTGGGGTGAAGACAGAGAATATGCAGTGTACTGGGATCACAGAAGGCAAGAGACACACCAAGGTCATTATCAATTTCACAAAACAAAGGCTAATATAAAGCAACTATTTACAGACAAATTAATAAGCATTGTTGCCACTTGTCAGCTTGATCTTGCAAACATTAATTTAGGAGTAAGTGCCATTGGACTTATTGGGATAAATCTCTAATCAATCTTTCAAGAATAAAAGTTCTAATTATAGTGTATCAATTTATACTTACAATGTGTAGTTACACCTACCTAAGCAGTTCTAAATTCAATTATGAACATGTATGTTTGTGCATGCACTCATGTGAGCACAGGGGCTTATAAATTAACAATCAAATCTTGGCATTTGAATGCCTTTTAAAACATTTTTTTTAAAAAATAAGCAAACAGATATGACACCTAGGCATTGAGGGAGAACCAAATCATTGTTATTCAGCAATCGTCATGAAGATAAAGTTAATTGCTTTTCAAAAAGTACTTTCATGTCCTTCCAATGCCCCTGGATACTTTTAGGACTATGCTTCCTAAATGCTTGGGAAGGGACCAAGGAAAGTAAGGTAAGCTCTGCAGGTTAGAACAGAAACATTTTTTTCTTGTGAAATCATAAAAATAAATTCAGGCTTTGGCAACATCATAGCTCATGCTCTCTGGGTGTGGGATTTTTTTCAACTATTCATACTAGTAACACAATGTTACTTTCACCAACTAGTACACACATTCAGTGAAAATGAATTGTTTGGTAGGTGCAGCAATGGCAGAATTCTTTTTTCTTTTGCTCTGTCCTCTTGTGTGTTGTCAGAAATGGCTTATTGAACCTACTTTAAGGCCATTTATCCAAGGACTTGCAAACAGGTTCAGTTTTCAACACACAAACACACCAAACGTTGGCTAGGAAGTAAGAAGAAACCACCCAACAGGAAAGTCCAAAGGCGTGATAATGTGCAGTTGATACATAACATGCATCACCACCTGAACTTTTGATTTACAAGTCCTAACACGGATCAGAATTCTCCACTTTATCTTGATGAGCTCTTTAAAACGCAAAAGCTTATATAATCCTCTACTGATCTGGTTCAATAAAAAATATATTATCTACTTATATTGTTAATCTATTTCTTTTATAATCCTTACTTCCTTTAGTGAGCTCAGGGTGGCATATACTAATGCAAATTACTACATTTTATCCTCAGAACAACCTTGAAAGGTAGAATAAATTGAAGGGGTTTGGCCCAAGGAAAGATTGATCTCTGACCTCCTCAAGCTAAAATCCAGCAGTTTAACCACTATGTAATTCTGGCTTTTTATCAGAGAAGCATAGAGACACCAGAAATGAGAATTTACAGATTTACCACTGCTTGAATCAAGCTAATAAATGGAGTCATTAGACATTCAAAGGTTAGTTAGAATAACCTGTGAATAGCTTTGAGCACTTAAAGATATTGATATATATCCTTTGAAGGAGAAATATTGCAAAGATTTTCCCAAACTATTAATTATATAATATCATTAGATTATAAGAAAATGAGATAGATCCCCATTCCAAAGAGCTTATAGTCTGCATTCAGACTATAGAAGTGAGAGAGCAAAAGAGAAAGAAATTGGTAAGGATGCAAGTAAAGGTTGTACGAACCTAAGTTTTACTTCAGCTAAGTAGGCAGTATAAGTGAAATTCAAACACACAAACTTCTCCCTCCTTCACATACCAGGTTTGTCCATTTTTCTTTTTGCAAAAAATCTGGAGCTTTCTTCAGCCATTGACAGATAAGGATACTACAGGTGCAACTTTTCTTACCCTGACAATGAAGCTTTCCTTCAATGACTATAGCTGTTGAATTTCTGCTGACATGCAAGCACTTTAAGGTGATCAAGCATTGTCTGGTAAAACAAATCCTAATCATATATTTTGTTACTAACCCTAACCCACCCACCCCCATCCTACCTCTTGTATCAATAAATATGTAAGTGTCCACCCTACTTAGAGATTCAAAGTGGTAAAAAAGGTAGATACAGATCTCAGGTACTTCCAAATAAAATACTCCTTGTATTACCAAGATTGTTTTTTTCTGTCAGGGAAAAGCCAGAGTACGTGGTAAGAGAACATGGGAGTGCTACAAAATGAATATTGCAATTGATGGCCCTTCCATAAAGTTTTGTGACTGTGGCAATGCAATAACGAAGTAAAGGCCATATCTGGAAACACCTTTTACATCTTGAAGAGTGAAGGATCTGACCCTGTAGCCAACCTGATAGGCAGAAATTAACCCACTGTAGGATTTTCCCAGACAGGAAATGCAGCAATGAGAGGACTCCCCTCTAGCTGAACTCTTATTCGAACACGCTGTTAAAGGCACAAACAACTAAATAAGACAGCAGCCACCATACCCTTTTCTGTTCTTTCATACAGCTTTGATACAAATAAGCGTAGAAGGAAGGTCCTATACAGATTCCCTCTTGTCGCAGTTCGTTTACCAGCCTTGACAGGCGGTCATTTCGTTTGTATAGTTTCACCTCTTCCCTGTCTTGATGAATCAACAGAAGGAAGCCTTTCACCTGTTGAATTTTCTCTTCAACATGCTGTTAAACAGATACAGAAGCCTTTACAGTGCTAGCAGTTCTCTCTTACACGCTCAGACACAGAGTATACCACAGTAACTCTCTTTCCAGCGTTTCCCTTTTCTCTACCCTCCCCATGTCCTATATAGGGGTCTAGATACGCAAACAGAGGGAGGAACGCCGTACACGCACCTGGGTCTTGACAAGCGGCGAGTACAGCTCGCCTCTTAGCTGGCGCGGCCGCGGTCAGGACGAAGGTTTCTATTGGCTCATTTCCCGAGGAAAGAGCGAATCGCCGCCTGAAAGAACGGCGCACGCCCGCCGCCAATGCAGCCCCCTCAGAGCGAAAAGGGTTCCAGCCCGCCGCCGCCAGACGGAGAAGTGAAGTCAGCCCAGTAGGAATCCATCCGCGGCGCCGCTGGGACAGCCGTACATTGCCCTTGCCAGCGCAGCACGAGCGTTCGTTCCTCGCCTGGCAGGAGCTGCGCGCGCTCCTGTTACTCCGTCCGTCGCTCCCCTACGGGAGGCGGCTTAGCGATCGGCTAAGCAAGGACCGGCAGCAGCGCAGACGCAGCGTAGTTTCGTCCGTTCGCGTACCTCACACGGAGGCGGTCGTTCGGTGACAGGTACCGGAAATTAGGTCGCTGTGCGCGCACAGACACTAACACACACGCGCGTACGTACGAGGCACACGCCCGTACACACCTCCTGCCACGGCTGCCTCCTATTGGATAAGGAAGGAGGGAAAGGAAAAATCGGGGGAGGAGTACC